CATCGTCTGATAAAAAATACTCGGACCCTGTACTTTCGGTCAAATATTCTTTAACTTTTTCGAAAATTTGCGTAACGTCATCCTTTAAAATGTTTTTATCTAAATAGTAAAATTTTAGTCTTGTGAAGTGGTCTTTATTGGGAGTACTGCAACCTGAAATACATAAAATTTAAATAAGATTTTGAATAAGATTTTAAATATGTATAATAAAATGAAACGCAATTTACAACTTGAAATTTTTTTTTTTGCAACATATAAACCTTATTTGTGTCTTTCGCGATCTTTCAATTTCTTCAATAATTAAGTATTTTAACAAATTAATAAACAAAGCCTTGGCACTTAAAATGTTATAAATATTTTTTAAAAAGTTACTAATTACGAAAATCTCGTAGCATTCATTTTAAAAAGAGCGCGCGCCTACGTTTAAGAAAAAAGAGGAAGAAGAAGAAGAAGAATAAGAAGAAAACACTGCTGCGCGCCAGCGAGCTCAAACATCGCACCGAACCCTAACGTTAAAGTATATCTATATAGCACACTTTTAAATAGGCTTTGGTGCGACGTTTGAGATGCCTGCTGCGTGCGCGCCGCTCGCACCCATACACACGAATAAATACTCACTCACATATACATACTCATGTACACGCACATACTCTCCCATTTTCCATCACAGTAAACTATAGGTAGCAGCCTCAGATAAAAGAGAAACGCACCATGTGTATATTTCGTTTCTCTCTCTCTCTCTCTCTCTCTCTCTCGCTCTCTATCAATTTGATTTCGAAAAAAGGGCATAAAAGATGAATAGGCAGCTCTTGGCAGCTGAATCTTGTTTTATTTGGTAGATAATATATTTAATTATCATTCCAATAAGGTTTCGAAGCAGCGTTTTGCAGCGTTTTAATGCAGTATCATTTGAAAAGTCTAATTTTCGGAAAATTTATGTGAAAAAATGACACTATTGTTAATGTTTTCCCTACTTCACTACTTAACAATTGATAATTAGTACTTTTTTTATATGTTCTACTTACCTTCAGAAGTGGATTACATTTGGTCTTATTTGATTTTCTTTATTACATAAAATTTTTCACCTGTACAACCGTTCTCAGTGTATTAACTGTAGAGTGACGCTCGAGCAAAGGCCACATTCCAACTGAACCTAAGGAAGGGGCATGACGAATTAGTCATCACTATGAACGATTTTAGTTTCTTGGAGGATCATTGCAGCCAACTCAAGGGTGAAAAAACCCTAAATAGAGACTTATTTTTTGGGACTTTTGGCCGCACTGTGCGCCGTTCTCCGGGGGCGCTCGCGCCTCTCCAAAAACAAAATTCGTGTGGTCTGTCTGTCGGTCTGCATCCATCAAGAGTGCATGTAGTTTTTCTGCTCGCTATCAACGCGCAGGAAACTTACCATTGCAACGACTTGTGTAACTGTAAAAGATTCACTGTGTATCCAAATCAAGCTCTCAATAAAATAGTACTGCAATATTAATCCACATGGTTACAATTAGTATTGCCAACGCTGGGCTTTTAAGAAGGCATCTGAAACGTGAAGCAACAATTAGTATTATAATTTAACAAAGCTTGTCTAAACATTTGGATGTAATATTGCAAGTGTCTTTAAATCACTAAGCTAAATTACTTTAAAATAGAACCATATACTCAAAATACGCACCTGATGTATGTGTTTTCAGTAAAAAATAACACCTGATCAAATCTCTGTTGTTTATATTCTAAGGATGCGTCCAGACGCAACGTCAATAGCAATCTGCAAAACCATTTGAATGCACTCGTCTGCTGAAATGCTAGGGATTTTTCCGCGACCTCGGGCTTGGGCATGTCTGACCAAACTAGGCCTTACTCCAGTAAATTTATGGTTTGAGTTTTTATATTATAAGGAAAGAAATATTTTTGAATATTGTTATAACAATCTATTCAGCATAAAAATATACAAAAAATTTTTAATTACAAATAATTGTTAGGTCAATTATGTTATAATAAAAAATTAGTTTCGTAGGAATCCACATCTACGTCTACTTTTGACTCTGAGGCAGAGGAACTGTTCAAACTTTCTGGCTCTTGTTCTTCGTTATGTACAGATGGAGCTGATAATAAATTGATTGTATCAGGTGATAAAAACTTAAGTGGTTTTACTGGTAATTTTTGGCCAGTAGAAATGTAAGGATCGGATGAAATCAGAAATCTTTTGAAAACGTCCTCCATCGTTTTTTGCCGATAGTTTTTTCTTGCATAAGCAACGCGGTAAATGTTGAAAAATTTGACATGCCTCTTGGACATTTAGCCTATGGGTAGTATTAACTGTTTAACGATGTCTGAGCCGTGAATTAGAAGTCTCAGATAAAAGAGAAACGCACCATGTGTATATTTCGTTTCTCTCTCTCTCACTCGCTCTCTATCAATTTGATTTCGAAAAAAGGGCATAAAAGATGAATAGGCAGCTTTTGGCAGCTAAAACTTGTTTTATTTGGTAGATAATATATTTAATTATCATTTCAATAAGGTTTCAAAGCAGCGTTATTTTGCAGCGTTTCAATGCAGTATCATTTGAAAAGTCTAATTTTCGGAAAAATTATGTGAAAAAATGACACTATTGCTTATGTTTTCCCTAATTCACTACTGAACAATTGATAATTAGTACTTTTTTTTACTTGTTCTACTCACCTTCAGAAGTGGATTCCATTTGGTCTTATTTGATTTTCTTTATTACGTAAAATTTTTCACCTGTACAACCGTTCTCAGTGTATTAACTGTAGAGTGACGCTCGAGCGAAGGCCACATTTCAACTAAACCTAAGAAAGGGGCATGACGAATTAGTCATCACTATGAACGATTTTAGTTTCTTGAAGGATCATTGCAGCCAACTCAAGTGNCCAAAATATTTTGTGCTAATGCTTTGGAGAAAAAATAGTAATCAAAGAAAATTCGTGGTTTGAGTTTTTATGTTACAAGGAAAGAAATATTTTTGAATGTTGTTATAACAATCTTTATTTCTATTGAGCATAAAAATATACAAAAAATTTTTAATTATAAATAATTCGTAGGTCAATTATGTTATGATAAAAAATTGGTTTCATAGGAATCCACATCTACGTCTGCTTCTGACTCTGAGGCAGAGGAACTGTTCAAACTTTCCGGCTCTTGTTCTTCATTATGTACAGATGGAGCTGATAATAAATCGATTGTATCAGGTAATAAAGACTTAGGTGGTTTTACTGGTAATTTCCAGCAAGTAGAAATGTAATGATCGGATGAAATCAAAAATCTTTTGAAAACGTCCTCCATCGTTTTTTGCCGATAGTTTTCTCTTGCATAAACAACGCGGTAAATGTTAAAAAATTTATGACACCCTACTGAAAAGCATTTTGTAGTTACATTTGTCATTA